CACCACCAACACCATTACCACAACTAACACAACAACAGAATCACTACCCCTACCCCCACCACCACCACAACCAACAACAGAACCACCACCACCCACCCCACCCCACCCCACAACCACCACCAACAACATCAACATATTTTCCCCTTTTAGTTTTAATAAGTGTTTTACGGCACTTGCAGCACAATTAGGTCATCAATATAAGAGCCGAAGATTAGACGTGAGTGTTACAAGAGAGTAGGCTATCAACAAACACAAAAAAGAAAGAGGGGAGATAAAGACGATAGATGTTTGATAGGAAAGAAGAAGCCAACCACACCAGAGAGAGCACCCGCCAACCACCACCCACAATTTTCCCCTTTACCTCACCAGGTGTTCACTAAACTGGACGCTGACAGCAGCGGCTTCTTGTCCAAGGAGGAGATCCTGGAGGCGGTGAAGAGCGAGTTTGAGCTGAAGCTGCGGGCGGAGAAGATCTCAGACCTCCTGTGCTACTACTGCAAGGATGACGACAAGAAAATCAGTTACGAAGAATTTGTTAAGGTGTGGCTTCAGCAGAAAGAAAAAAAGTGAAATGTTAGTTAGATGAGATAGATATTGGTAAAAGTAAATTTTAGCCCCCACACGTCTTCGCGAATCATGATGATCACAACATACTATATTTGTACATGTATGTATTTCCTTTTCTTGTAAGACCTGTCCCCCCCGGGGTTTTATGCACCCTGCATAATTTAGCAAAAATTTAATGTGATCATTTTTTGCATAATTTCTGTAGCCTATATTTTCCTTTATCATTCGTTGTTAAAATTAACAGAATCGGATAATTTCACATTTTTGGGCTCAGTTTGCATAATTTCAGAATTTTAAATGTTTTTTTGGCATAAAACCGCGGGGACAGTAAGACATATGTGACATCTGTGTGACCCCCACGGTGACCCGGGATGTTGTGCACTAGGTCAAGCAGTTCGCCTGGGGAGAGGGGGGTTCAAAATTTACTTTTACTAGTGATATTTGGGTAACTGCTGTCTATGCAAGAATCCATAGCTCTTTAATCACTCTATATTGTCCATGTTATAACATATGCATTTGTTTGTAATGTAAGCCAATGCTGCTGGGAGAAACATGTGGCGGGTATTATTTTTCTTTTTAGAATGTGAATGTTTTTCAACAAGTAACATGTCATACTTTTTATATTGCATATTTTTCAACACTATTTCTTCTTTTGTTTTGTTTTAAACTTACAGTCGCGTGTATTGAAAATAAAAGACTCATGTGCATTAAAAAAGACGTGTTTTTGCTTCTTTTCTTTTTTTTTTTTTTCTTTTTTAATTAGTTGGCCATATTTTCTCAACTTTTTTATATAATATTTTTCCTTGATGACTAGCCTTGCATGGACTTTCGTATTGTACGACATTCTAATTCTAGAGGAACAGAATCTTATAAATGTCCAATGTACATGCTTTATCAGTTTTTCTAAGACCAGAATTTGCCAAAGGTAAAGACGCAGTTCACACAGTAACTAAAACTGGAATAGTTTCAACACAGGACCAGAAGTTTACGAAAGATTTTGATATAAGGGAGAATCACATGAATAGTAACACGGGTTAAAGTTCCCCATTTGTGTAAACTTCAACGAATGACAGCATATTGTCTTGTGTTTTTTCTTCAGGCAGATATATTCTTGTCATATATACCACTAACCTTTATACATTTATCAAGTACATGAGAGTGTGTGTATGTGTGTTAACTGTACTATTACTAGATCAAACTTGCGGCAATTTTTTGTATGTGGCCCATGGTTGACAATGACCAATTGGATCATCCATAAAAATGATAAATATTTAAGAATGCATGACGTATATAAATTATATAGTTGCATTATACATGCATTAAAGTTTATAAATTATTATATTATTAATATACATTAGTTCAGTTGTAATTAAATTATATTCTACATGGATAGAGCGGATGGACCCTCCTATTTAAATTCCCACTGGGACATTTTTGAACTTGGGTAGTTCGAGTTCTCAAGGCTCTCCACTTACTTGGCTTGGTACTTTCAGAGACGGCCGTCAAATTTGTAGGTCTTGCTTTTAAAAAATAACATTTGAAAGGGATAGTAAAACCATAGACCCCCTCGTGTATCACGCATTGACCACCTTGTATTCAAAGCCACTAATATCTTTCTATAATCCTCATTTCGTCCGATTACCACCGGATGAAATAAATCTACCTGTTTAACTGGACCAAAAGAAATCGGAAATAACGTAAACTGGTCCAAACGGGATTGGATATTATATAGACTGGTCTAAAAGGGACTGGATAGTACATAAACTGGTCCAGAGAGGATCTGTTATTACATGAAGTGCTCCAAATGGGTATTATGTGAGCTGGTCCAAAAGGGGTTGGACATTACATCATTACATAAACTGGTCCAAAAGGATCCGTTTTATTTAAAGTGGTCAAAAACGAATCTGTTATTAACCCTATCCGTACGTCGTGATTTACGTACCATCGTTTCCATACGATGTGGGGAACTCTGTGCCCCCACTTTCCAAAGAGGAAATGTACTCATTAATCCGATCCGTACACTATGCATAGCAGTCTGTCAAAATGATTTTTTGAGAAATGCTGAAAGTTTCAAAGAGATCTTCGCACTAGAAGTATTCTAAAATGTAAAGAATACAACGTCTGTGGTACAAAATCACCCGCGGCGTATGGACAGGGTTAAATGTTAACTGGTCCAAAAGGGATCAGATATTAACTTTTATAAAGTTAACTGGTTCAAAAGCGATGCACCCACCAGTGGTGCTCTTCCAGCACCAGCAACAGGTAAGATATCAACCAAATGAACACGTACAAAAAAAACAACATAACAATCTTCCTTTTCTTTTTTTGCTAATTATTTTTATTGGTTTCAATGTACAACGATTTTACATCAGTCTTCCTTTTGATAAGACAACACTAGATTTACAAAGTTTACAATTGTTTACAAGTCCAACAAGTACCTTAATAACATTGTTTACAAACAGCATGTGGCTTGCCTGAAGAGACAAAAACAGGAACATACAGTGACTTCAGTCAACGAGAACGTGGAGACAAGACACCACAAAGTTAAGAGATATCCAGACTAGGATTTTAAAAAAGAGAGGAGAAAAAAAAGACAAATCCAAACTAAGGATAATAAAAAGTTATCGGGTTGAAAACCCATTTTAAGAAATTCAAACCACTTTAGGGGCCTAAACTCACCTTGAACCACAGGCATAGTTTTATAACTGACAACAAATGTTTTTCAAAAAAAAGAAAATCTAAACTGAAAACCAAAATGTTTGGGACTTCAGAGCTCTGGAACTGGCATTATCAATTTCATGAGTCACTCAGCTACACTTCTTCACTGACACCCCAAAAGTTAAACACGATGGGAAGGCTGAGACGTCAAAATAGAAAGAGCTAAAAAAAAATATATATATTTTTTTTTAAAGAATTTATAAAATTTACATCAAGGTCTCACAGAAATGCTTCCCTACAGTCCCCAGTGAAAAGTACAAACTACAAAGTACTAGAATAAAAGAACAGAAAATAAATGAAGTTGCCATTTTAATAATAATGTGAGTAATACAGATAGGAAGGAACAAACACTTCCGATAGCAGGAAATTTCTTAGTCTTCATAATCTACATTTAATGCCAAATAAAATGTCCAAGACAAAGGTAAAAATACATGACCTTTTTTAACCAGCAAACAACATATCATAGTAGAAAAAAATAATGAGGTATATGATGAGTAAAATCAAAACAAAAGATGAATATGTAAAAATGTAAATAAAACTATGAAGATAGACAATTTATGTTTAAATACTGACGTATAATGTACTGACATCTTGCACCGGATGCACTATAAATAGACCATCAAGCATATGCACACACTCCCTTCTCAAACCTTCCACTATCTTTAACATTGAATTCTGTAAAGCTTTGACACCTTTTTTAAAAAATAAAGTCAGTTCAACCACAACATGAACTGAACAAGCCTGGGTTAGGAGCTCACAAACTTGGACTGTCCATCACATTAGATCCATGATTCCATGTCGTACTTAACACCCATCTATTAATCCATGACCTTTTCACACCCTCGATTAAATTACTTACTCTTATCATTAAACTGTGCCATAGCATAAGTGGTGCCGTGTAATATACGGAGTGACTAAATGAAAAAAAAAATATGTTGTAATCATTTTGAAAGGTTCACGGGAAGAGATATAGCAACCAAGTGTAGCTTTTTCACTTTCGTCTGTTTGCATTTAACAAAAACAATTTGTAGCTCACTTATTAATTTGCCGATGCAAAGGAAATTTTGCATGGGGATCTGCATGTTGGCCATCTTCTAAACAAATGTGGTTTGGGGGGGGCTATATTAAACACCTCCCTTTTGGTGCATACACAGGATCACTTCAAGAAATGATTCACAGAAACCGGGAATACAAAATACTAATTTTGAAACAAGGACACCACACTGACCTCCCACAAAAAGTACACACCCATCTGTAGGGCCATGTTTCAAAGGCGTGCAATTAAAGTGTGGCATTGATGAAAACACGTTTACTTTTTAAAAATATTTTAGGGGTATGTTGTCAATCCACTACTATTTTTTCAACTCACTATAGGTTAGCATCAAAGAAAATGTGCCAGAACCTTAGTTTTCAGTGACCTTCATTTAATGAGGTTTTAGATTCTATTGTCATCCAACTTTTGGGCCAGCAAGCAAGGACATAGGAAGATAAAACACAGCAAACTGTCTTTATCTAGCATTAACCAGTTGGACCAAAGTGAGCAAGCTATAAATAGTAGCAAGTTGGGCCCTGGTATGACCGGTTCAGTAAAGAACAATTCAGAAAAGACATCTATCTTGAGTCTCTTTCATTTTGGATTTGATACACGACAACCAAAAAAAAGATGGTAAATCTGTGCAGAAACAAGAGGCCAGGAATAAATGAGCACAAGAAGTGATATATATGGATGCATCTTCGCACACGACTATGTAAATACATCAAATTTTTAAAAAAATGAAAATACCAGGATGATTAAGGAATTAACAAAAATGGCCAGGTTAGATAAATATGTAACATTTTTCAATTTTGTAAAAGTTTTTAGTAGTGCGGGTGATTCTCCATTTGGGTGCACCATTGAAAAGAACAAAATGAATCCAACCATTTAGCTGAGGAGAAAATCACTGATGACACAAATCTTGTGGAGCATGTAAAAGATTGGCTTCAGTCGCTCGACGCAAAATTCTTCAGGGATGGCATAAATTTCCCTGTACAACAACGAGAAAAATATTTCACTCTTCACGGGGACTATATTGAGAAAAAAAAAAGGTGTTGTTTAGCCATCATGATCTGTGTAAGTTGTACATTTTTAAATCTCCATTATGACAAAATTTTTCATTTAATAACAATTTTCTTGTATATACCTTGCACTCAAACCTGATGCTATAGTGTAGAGCACAGAAATTGGAACAACCCAATGAACATTCTACTGCCTGTCAAACATTAGCAGCTATAAACCACACTGTTGTTAGTGAAGTCAATTCTTACAGCAAACATTGCAAACTTTCCCACCCACAAATCTATTCTTCGTTCAAGAACAATCTTAAACCAAAAACTTACAATAACACAATACCTCTCTGAATCTGGATTAAATATGCAAAAGTACGTTCTTCATAAACTTTGAAATCAGAACAGTGAATCTTAGAAACACACGCCCCTGTAATACAAGGAAAAAAGAAGTGATAAATTACTCATGTCTCAAGCAACAGAGGAAAAATTAAGTATGTGCATGGATTTAATGCCCCTTTGAAGACTGTCAGGTTGTTTAAGAGTTTGGACCTCCCAATTTTATGTCCATGTCTAAAAGGACACAGCCAAATGGGTTGAGAACCTTGAAAATTCCACAAAATGACCTGAATACAAGTACGCCCATTTGGGGATTCAAACCAAGGTCGTTCTGTCCAAAGTCCAGCATGGTACCAACTGAGCTAAAGGAGCATCCTAACTCAGGAACAGTCTGAAGCCTTTAGGAATGACCATTACTAGAAACATGTTGCCATATTTCCACACAAGGAACCACAATGCACAGAAAGATGAGAAAGATGCTGTTAACGGACAAGAAAAGCAGGTGCCTTCTTCACACTATCAAAAATAAGCAAATCATCATTTTTAAACAAAAAAGGACATATAAGCATCTATTCAGGCGAAAAGGAATTATCTGAGTCAAGTTTAATTTAGACATCTAAACTATTTTCTCATATTGGCAAAAAGAGGCTTTAAGTAGTATAACATTCAAGAAAGCTTTCAAGTTATGCAGAGAAACCATTAAATCTACTGCACCCCAACCCCTTTACGAAGTCTAGATCTTGCAAGCCCAAAAGAGGAAAGGATGGGGAAAAAAAATATTTATAATTCAAATTATTACCCCCCCCCCTCCCCTTTCCCTCAGAAAAAAAATCAATAAATGATAACAAACACAATATTTAGAAGAAAATGCAAACAAACAAATAAAACAACACCAAGGAAGAGCTGAAACAACCACGAAGACCAAATACAAACCACAAGACAAAACTGAACTGAACAATTAAACTTTAAAAAATCATAAAGGCGTTACGGAAATATCAAAACTCAAAGACATCACTATATCTCAAGGCGCACACATGGGCAATAGAATTTCTTCATCAATATTTTTATAT